GCCGGACTTGCTGTCCTCAGACAGGGGGCCGTGTGGAGAAATTCGAGCAAGGAAGGAACCCAGGAAAATTGAAGGCAGAGAAGAAAGATACATATAGAATACCACTCTCAATGGTTTACTGGCAATGGCTTCAGACTAAAAACAGGTGTCCCTACGACACAGTTAGGCAGTTTTTTTGTTTGTTTTTGGTTTTTTGTTTTAGGCAAATTCTTATACTGTACTCTAGGCTGGCCTGAAACTTGTAATTCCCCTGCCTCTGCCTCCCGAGTACAAGGTGACAGCTGGGAATCGCCCAATTGGCTAGGCTTATTTTTTTTCTAAGCATTATGAGTCTTAGTCAAAACAAACAAACAAACAAAAACCAACATATCTTAAATGAAATGGAAGGGAATGGGTTCTCTGGGTTCCTGGCTGAACTACAACATGACAGCAGCAGATTAAGAAAAAAAAAATCCTAAGAACTGAAAGCGAAACAAGCTCTGAGATCTTGTTGGCATTCTGCTGAGCTGAGAAAAAGTATGAGCTCTAACAATGTAGCAAGACCTTCCCCTCTCTGGGAAACCCCGCCTCCCAATGTGAGTGAGACTTCCCGTCCTAGTTGAAGGCACTAGTTGAAGAAAGGGTTTTTTTTAACCACTCTAGCAAGCTTATTGTACAGGGCTTACCCATGTCCAGCCTGAAATAGCAGGCTCTGAGAGAGCTTTTGGTATTAACAAAACATCTCATGAGAATAGCACATTTTTTAGTTTGGGAATTTAAAACAAAACAAAACAAAACAAAACAAAAAACCATGCACCTTCAACTCATCTGATTTTATAACTTTTTTTAAAGTAATGTCTGAGGCCTTTATAAGAACACTTTCATTAAAAAAAATCTCGTTCAAAAGAGCTTATAGGATGAAAGCACAAGAAAGAAAAGAAAAAAAGAAAACACGGGTAGAGCTCTGGAAACGACAGTGAGTAGATTTCCCTCCATTTTCTGAAAATGCCAGGATGTGAGAGCATAGCAGAGTTGCCTCCTAATAAACTCAGGCAGCCTAGGATTGTTCAGAGTTTATAACAATACAGACTGCACCTATAAAAGAAAGCTAATGGGGTTACCAAAAAGGAGCTATAGCCTCTCAGAGAGGCTTCTAACTAGTTAAACTCAATTCAGAGCACTTAATTTCTGTTCCTTATAAAACAGTATTAACTCGGTTCCAACGTAAAAAGCTCTCTTGAACGCCGAATTTACATGTAACTAAAACCGGACCTCCTCTTTATTGACTTCATATATTCAATTTCTCCAAGTACAAAGACCAGGTCTTTAAGCTGGTTGCTTTAGACACTAAGCCTCGACATTAAACAGCATGATTATTTTCATTCCAATAAAAACTGTACTTCTACTACAAAAGAGTTTTAATTCTCTGCTGTACTTACAAACACAGGCAAAAGCATCGTGCTACAGCATTAAGCCATAAGGACTGTTTGGCCTGTGTTCATCTGAACTGCCAAGCTAGGGAAAAGAAGACTAGTATTATTTAATAAGACACATGGACATGGAGACACCCAAATGCCTCTTGCTATGAAAAGCTGTGTTCTGCTGGAAGCCCGATAGGATGTCAAAGGCTTTAGTGGAGCAATGGCCACCCCCATCTATCCTACAAATGCCACAAAAAAGGGATCTCTTCTTGAGTACATGCAGAGAGGTAGAGAGAGGGAGGGACACTCTAAATAATGCGAAGCTAGGGATGTAAGTCAGTGGTAGAACACTCAACGGGCACATGTAAATCCCTAGGTATGACCTCCAGCATGTGAAACAAAAGTATTTTTACATATGTAAGTGTGTGTGTGTGTGTGTGTGTGTGTGTGTACACATATACATAGAAGACATATGCGGTTATAAATCCCCCCGCCCCCACGGGGTTGTATGGCCTTTGTCTTTCTAGGTTTTGCAACACAGAAAACCTGTTGGAAATATATGGCACCTTTGTCAAGAGGCAAGGGGACAGTTGGTGGTACACAAGGGACAGAATGGGAGTTGTGGGTAGGAGGAGATCTAGTGGCTGATGCAACAAAAGGTTATGCCACCCGCGTACAGAGGAGGAAGGCAGGTTGCTCATCAGGACATCATGATGGGGGAGTATCCTTCTGCATATATATTTCTCTTATTAGTTGACGAATAATAAGTATAAGCGGGGCTACAAGAGGAAGGAAGGGGGAGAGAGGGGGGGGGAGGGAGGGAGGCCTGGAAGAGAAAACATGCTGCTGAAGGAGTAACATGCCGGATTATAGGTAAGCCACAGCCTCGTGGCAACACGTAGATTAATAGAAACGGGTTAATAATTAAGACAGAGCTAGCCAATAAGAAGCCCTCACTATCGGCCAACAATATTATAAATTAATAAATGTCTCTGTGTGTTTATTTGGGGCAATGCGGCTGTGGGGCCAGGCTGGAAAGGAATTCTAGCAACAACATAAAGTCCTTAGGTGATTACAGTGGGGGAGGAGGGGAGGAAGACCAGGCCTAGAGCCCTGCTCAAGAGAGAGAAGGGCTTCCCTGCAAGGAAACTAATCAGACTTGGAATCTCTGTAGACTTGCCGTGGAAATGCAAGGCAGAATCCCATCCTTCTGTAGACAGAAAAACCAGGAGCACAGACAGACAGCAGTGACATTAGTTCACAATGATGAAGACTCTAGAGACAGGGACTTCAACCACCCACTTCAAACTCGCAGAAACCATACTTATCTCCAACTCAAGCATGCTAGGGCAAGTGAGCCACCAGGGGGCAGAAAGGACGCAAAGATCCAAGACTGAGGGCATCTTTTGGGATCAAGGCACCGAGGCCCGGAATGAGTACACCAACTACCACAGCTTCATCCTTCCCAAAGGCCAACTAACCACAACGTGTCGGTCAGAGACCAAGGGGCGGTGACTCCACGCGCTCCATCAGGCCTACTCTTTCCCGTCTTAGCATGAGCTCAAGTTAACCAGTAAACAGAATTCCGGGGAGACCAGGTGACCACAGACAAGACAAAGGGCTTCTGTGAAGGCTCCCACATCTGTCCTCTGGTCTCCTCACTGCCTCAGGGATGTCAAACAAATCAGTGTCTACTCATTATCCTAGCATGAGTCAGTGCCACCCCTGTCCCTGATCTGCAAACATGAAACATGTCCAGGTTAACTTCACTGGAGACAATGATAAACTCAAGGGCTACTCATCTCTTTCCCATGCTAGAGTAAACAAAGCATACATGATAAAACCGTGTCACTGGACCAAAAAAGAAAAGTATAGGGCTACCAGTTCTTCACCAACTTCCCAGGAATCAAAGTATGATTTAACAACAACAACAAAACCATGACACACTGAAGTGCCTTCGCCCTCACCATCGGTGTCTAAGACTCCATGCATATTTATTTTGCCTTTTCAGCTCTAGGGATAGAACCCAGGGCCTCGCCTATGCCAGGAGAGCGATCCACTACTAAGCTAAACTCCCAGTCCCAAAGGCTTCATAAACCAATTACTTTTTGTACGGATGGCCCTTAGAAACTATTTTATGATTATAAAGGAATACGTGATATAAATATTAATGAACAAATTCAAGAACCGGAACACAGAAGAGTAAAAAATCCAGGAAGGGAATACAAAATAGCTTCAGTTTTTGTTTTCACCACTGTGAAAGAATAGTCCATTTGAAAGCCTAACAAATGTATCAGTTTACTCATTAGAAGGATTTTTAGTGTTGTGATGATGTTTCCCTATGACTTCACAAGAGCAATCTTTAAAAGCAGTGGGAGGTTCTATATGATACATCCTACATGTTACACCTATTGCTATATAATATTTAGTATTTAATATTTAATATAAATACTTCCTTCAGAAAGCTCTTCCGATGACTCAGTTCCATTCTTAATTGCGAGTAGTTTTTTTTTTAAATATGGTTGTGCTAAGATTAATAAATGACGACTTAAGAGACATTTCTGAAAAGAAATCTACAAGTCTGAAGTCTTAATTCTCTTGGGGGAAATGTCTGAATGCCGAGAAGCTCCTACCTCACGTTCCTGTAGATTCTGACTGAACTGCCCATGCTAGGACATCAGTGACATTTTCAGTAATAAACCTGTCTGTGAGGGGTGGGGGAAACTCCCTCCCATTCCTGATTCATAATCTTAGGGAAAACACAACTGGTGCCACCATCTCTTACCAGCTTTGCTGTGAAACTGGGGTGGACACAACCTCCCCAAATCATACCATCATGAGCTGTCACAGTGGGGAGACCCGGCCCACAGAACTGATGGAGGTGTGCCTTCCTGCAGAGCTCACCTTTGGTCTCAGGAAGAAAAAGTGCTCTTCTCTACACTTGAAGATATTCCACTCACTCGTCCCCCGGACGCCAATGTATTAACTGATATGTAGTGTTTCTTTCTCTTGGCACAATAAAAAAAAATGACACAAGGGTGTGTACCCAACAGTAAACATCGACAGCCTGGGGCAGAGTCCCCCTTCTCCTATGTCACAATGGAACTGCGTGTCTGAGAACCACAGACACAACCAGAGCTCGGGTTTAGCCTCCATGCAAGGAAGGGGGAGGGATAGTGGAGTGGAGACTCTTCGTAGGGCTGGTTCAACTCACCCCTGGAAATCATGATGGGGTGGCTTGGCTATGAATAACATGTGATCTCTAAAGGGTTCCAAGCTGGTGGGCAACCGTGCAACTTTTGCTGGAAATAAAAGAGCCCGCCTCCCTAGCACAAGTGCTTCAGTAGTTCTGGCTCAGCTGTGCTACTCCCCAGGACGCCGGTGGGGGAGCTCTGTATCACTGACCTAGAATGTATGTAGCATTATGAAAAATGTGATGAAATAAACACGTATGCGAAGAGTCTGAACCTCTGACCTGAGCCTGTGCCTCAAACGATAACCTTATTATGAACAGACTAATTCGATATCTGTTAAAACGCTGTTTCAAAGGGCAGAAATACGAAGAGGGTGGCAAATGAGGAAGGCAAATGTAATGCTTACTTTCTTTAAACGCTTGACAGTAGCCAAGGAAAGATAATAAAAAGAACAGGGCACACAGGAGGTCTGCGCGGCCAACAACACCAGCGACCTTAAAAGAAGGGGGGAGGGAAAAAGATTTACATGAAAGATGTTTTAGCATTCGTAAATTTTGGACATTCAAAATGTTCCTTAGACACAAAACAAGCAACTTACTAGACCCCCCCCACCACCTATGACGTCACGTGGGCAGTGCTGTGCAAACCCGGATAAAGTGTTACCTTATAGCTGGTTCGTTCTCTTCACCCTTCCTGGTACTGGACCTCATTTCATTGCTTTAAGAGAAACTGGGCTGTTTGAACAGACTGTTCTGGGCATAGCACATGTGTAGCAAAAGCTGTGTTGTTTAACACACAACACCCAAGAATACCAGAGACCCAGGTTTCTCACGTCCTGTAGATTTTCAGTCAAAAGTGCTGCCAGCTCAGAGTTTGGTATTAAAAAAGATAAATCCTGGGACCAGCAAGACTGAAACAGTGGGTGAAAGTACTTGCTGCACTAGCCTGGAGACCCGGGTTCAATCCCCAGAACCCGCAAAAAAGGGGGATGGAGAGAACAAACTTCAGGGAGCCCCTCTAGCATGCATATGTATCATGGCATACATGCCCCACTCTATCCCCCCATCAGGCATGCACATACACCAAGCATGCACGTATGTGTGCGCACACACACGCACACACACCCCACCACCACTAATAATAATAATAATAAATAATAAAAATGATAACAACACATACATCAAGCATGCACGTATGTGTGCACGCACACACGCACACACACCCCACCACCACCACCACCACCACTACTACTACTAATAATAATAATAAAAATAATAACAAATTAAAAGCACGCAGGACACAAAAGTAGGAAATATGCTAACAGTTTAGGCAGAAAGGAAAAGGTAGGCTTAATGCCTCTGAGCTGCCTCTGCTATCTTTTCCCCTCTGATTCAAACTGGTTTAGAGGTTACCCTGCAAAGAGAAGATGCTTTTCAAGAGACCAATGAAATGAAACAGAAATGTCTCTCTTCATTTCCATTGAGACAATTCTGCCTTCTTTCCCTACTTTCCCTAGAGAAATGAAACTGTATAAAGTTTGTGTTCATTTCTTCCAAGCCAATTACCCCAATAATTGGTTTTTTTTTCCCCAAATATAAGGAGAACCACAGAACTGTACCCATGAGTACTACTCTAGTTTAAGGAGTGTCCTTCACTAACTGGTACCGAAATGTGGCATATACCAAATCACTTTAATGGCTGGCAGACTAACCACTTTCCAAAGGAAAGATGAACTACCGGACCTTTGGAGATCAGTACACATAGTATGTTCCATAAGGGCGTGTAAAGTCAACAGCTGAGCAGGAACACCTTCAATGGTTTTGCACTTACATACGAAAGGCTGGGGTGTACTGTCCACTGTAGCTGTAATCGCCCCATGGAGGTGCCCTGGGAAATCTATGGTGTCATGTAGGAAGAAAGACATATCCATCCTAGCCAAGAGCATGTGAGAGAGGAAACCTACGGAGGGGCAGGTGTGACGGTCAGCCCTGTCAATCTGACAGGATCTAGAGTGGGCCAGGAGACGATCCTCTCGGCACGTCCGAACAGGAACTGATAAGCCAGTGAACTGAGGTAAACTCACTCTCAGGGGACAGCACCCACTCCAGCGGCTGGGGTGTGGGGGCAAGGGGTCTCCAATTAAATAAAGAGAAGAAAGTGAGCAAAAGTGCCGTCGTTCATTTCTCTCTGCTTCCTGACCGGATGTGCCCGGCTACCTCACTCTCTGCTGCTACCACACCTTCCCGACCGCGATGGGCTGTGTGCCCTCAGACCATGAGCCACAGTCACCCCTTTCCTCCCTAAAGTTGCTTCTGACAGGCATTTTTTCTCACAGAATGGTTAACAATCGACCAGTACAGGAAGCAAAGGGCAAGACCCCTTTGATGGACCTGAAGAGGACAGGGCAGCTCGCTGGAGGGTTAAACGGATGCGTGACGGGTTATGGATACTCATCGAGGTAAGTTCATTCGACGAGGGAAACACTAAGTGATTGGAGATGCAACTACAGACAAAGCCTGACACAAGGCTCCCTGTTAGCTCCCTTCATGAACCTCAGAGTGCTTCTAGAAATAGGACTAAGTAGCAGGCAGGAAAAGGATCCCCCACCCCCCGGACACCCTGGGGGTGGGGTGCTGCTTCTTTTGGCCTGGTGGCAAGTTAAGTGGTGGAACATCCATGGCTGCATGGGCCTCTGTCTGGACTACAAGGAGAGGAGCTTTTATTAGAGCCGTGGCTCTGGACAGACCAAATGCCAAACCCTCTCTCAGAATAGAAGCAACCAAAGCCAAGGTAGACCAGAAGCTAAGGAGAAGGAGGGGGAACCAGGACTTCTTGGATTGACTGAAGGGTAAGGAGTAGTTTGGACAAGAGCCAAGGATGAAGTCAAAAGGACCAGGCTGTTGAAGCTCCTATCAGGGTAGTTAAGTTGCATGCAAAGAAGTGCCAAGAAGTGAACTTTAAACAAATGGACTCACGTTCTAATGCTAAGTTTTTTTTTTCCTTTCTGTAAACTACAGTCCTGGTTGTCAGCTCGGTGTTTAGTAGCTGAGCCGTCTCTCCACCCCTATTTTGGTAAGGCAATCTCAAGTCTTTAAGTGACATAAAGACAAACGAAAAGAAATAAACCTATGGCGAGTTTTTAAAGAGGCATTTATCATTTCAATGAATATTTGTCAAGAATAACTAATTAGAGAGCTCGTAGAATAGAGAGTCAGAGAGGCTATCCAAGAGCAAGCTATATCCAAACATTGGAGAATGGACATAAGGAAGACAAGGCTCTCTCTCTCTCTCTCTCTCTCTCTGAAAAAATATGTATTTCCAGATAAACTTCTCTCCAACAGTTGTACTTTTCTTTCAGATGACCTCAAACACTCCTGTCAAGTTTTTTTGGGAGGGAATCACACACCCTCCTTCAATTCCTTCAATCCATTAAACAAGTAGCATCTGAGTTTTCCTTACCAGGGAAAAGAATAAAGAATTTGGGGATGGTTAGGAGGTGGGCAAGGGTTCCCCTCCTAATCCCTTTTGGGTTGGCATCTAAGTGTTCAAAGCTGGGTATTACGGTGTGTGCCTACAATCCCAGCGCTTGAAAGGTAGAGGCAGGAGAACAAGAGTTCAAAGCCAGCCTCATCTAAATAGCTACAAGTGAATCTCGGACCAGCCTGGGATGGAAAGACCCGTAATCTTGTCCACTCCCTGGCACAACATCTGGGTTCAGTAATGAGTGGGTAGGAGTCTTGAAGAGGCCTGAGCTTTTCTGACATCAGAACCCAGTCATCTTTAGCCTCACTTTAAACATGATGGTACTCGTGTCCTCAAAGACTCCTTGGGAGTTTCTTATCCTGATGGGTGAGCCAAAACCAGATCAGGGACTAAGCAACACCCCTTCTCATGCTTCTCCTCTCTCATAGGGAGGCAGTTCCCTGTCAGGTGCCTCATGTGCCTAACAATTCAGTATGATTCAAGATGGCATATTGAGGTGTGTGTGGGGGGGTGTTGACTGGCTTTGATTTGTATCACCCAAGGAACAAAATCAGTTTGTTTGTAATGATTTCCCTATCAATCAGAGCCCAGATGAGGATCAGACTGAAGGGTGACCAATTCACCCCACTTCACCTGGGACCATCTTGGTTCTGGTCAGAAGCCTCTGTCTCAGGCACACTGGATGGGTAGGAAATTGTTAGGTGCTAAGTTGGTTATGGTAACACACCTCTGTAATTCCAGAACTTGGAAGACTGTGGCAGGAGGAGGATCAGGTATTCAAGGCCAGCCAGGGCTATGCCACGCCTTGTCTCAAAAACAAAACAAAACAAAACAAAAAAACCATAAGACAAAACAAAAACCCCGACAATAACATAAAAGATAAAATATAATTGTTTATTTGCAGTGAGCAAAATAGACTCAATATGAACCTGGGGGGAGGGAGGATAAAGGCACAAAACATACTCATCTTAATTACAAAGAAATGCATGTCATTAAAACCTGGTAGGGCTCATGCTGCAACTCCATCCTCTTAACACATATATGTGGACACACATTCACTCCAATCTGCTAGGTCCTCATGCCACAGCGAGCCACAGGGACGGTGGGACCATCATGGCCACACCACGGTAGAGAACCGGCGGTCTCTCCCGTCCTGGCAGGACACCTGTGAGGCATTCTCCTGTCACCTGAAGATAAGCTCCAGGTGTGTTGCTCTTTGCATGTGTTTAAAGCTGGCATTTAAAAAAAAATGTAGCGTGAGAGATAAGATGGAAAAGCTGGTAAGAAGAAATTGGATAGTGTGTCAAAATAATGGAAAGGTAAACACGCAAAGCATCTGTCTGTGAATGCTAACTTTTAACTATCCCTTATTTTCTGAAATTCAGGTTTAAATGGTTGTTATGGAATGATAGGGAGATGAAGGGAATTTTCAAGTAATCCTTTACACCCACAGGTAGCTGCCACCCCCCATGTGTGTGTGTGTGTGTGCGCGCGCATGTGCCCATGCACCTGTGTGTGCCCATGCACATGTATGCTGTGTGTTCATGCACGTGTGTCTATGTATTTCGCAGCCAGGTGTCAACCTTGGGTATTATTATCCAAACGAGACAGGCTAGATAATTAGGTTCCCTGGCTGGCCAGGGAACCCTGGGTCCCCATCACTGGGATTGTTGGCACACACACTATGTCAGGAATTCTATGTGGGGTGCTAGTAATCAGTGTCAGGTCCCCATGCTTGTACATCAAGCACCTAACTAGCTGAGCTACCTCTCCATTCCCCTCAATTTCCCCTTTAAAGACCTGAAATATGGCCTTTCAGGATTAGCAGATAAACTGCATTTATCTGCAGCATGTGTGTGTGTGTGTGTGTATCTTTGTGCATGCACAAATGTATAAGCACACCCAGGCCTTAAAACCTTTTCATAAATCAACTTCTCAATACTTAAAATCATAATTTTGGGAAACCTTTGATTAATCATTCAGTTTTATTTTGGTTTACAGTTATGCCCAACTAGACAAGAAGCAAACAGTCAATCGGGGTTTTTTTTTTCCAGAGAGCCCCTTTTGTGTCACTGCATCTGTGATGCAACAAACACTTAGACCAGAGAAGTGAGGCGGCAACCAATTCTAACTTGGTCACGGTGATGCACAAAAAGAGAGATAAAGGGTTTAAAATGGACTCCTGCAGCATGAGCCACAGCCTTTCACAAAAGATACAGAAGATAGCCAGAAAAATCCCATGCCTTCTTGAAACCAAAGAGCAGACATTATGAGAAATAAGATGCTGAAAACAAGAATTCTGATTAACACTTTAGAACTGACTTTAAGACCCTCAACAGGATAATCAGTTAAATGTTAGGCATTTAAATGTCTGCTAGAGGTGGAAGTCTACTGTGAGAGAAATAGCAAATGTAGCGTTCTAATCCAGATGTTTTATGCTACCAGAATGACTAAATCCCATCTCTTTCTTCAGCAGCTCGCTGCCTCAAATCTTCCAAGGGCTCAGGTGTGCATATAGGGGTTTTCTGGCAACATCTCACGTGTCCAGTTAAATCTCAACAGCCTATGTCTAACATGTACTCTTCATGTCCTGGGCACATGGCCACAGGGCAGCAGGCTTAGTTTCTATCACTGCTGTCTATCACTTGGCCGAGTCTGTTAAGGGGAAGATACCCAGGGAGGGAGGGAGGAGGAGGAAAACTTTAAGAGTAATTCCCCTGAACCAGCAGGGGCCACGGAACCTCAGGAGTTTTAGCATGCCCAACGGTCACTTTCCTTTATCCTCTTGGGATACTCACTGCCTGTAAAGTTGTACCAGACCATCCGATGTCACGGTGCTTTTATGCTAATTATATTAAGAAGGTATTTTTGTAAATCATAAAGCCAGCCACCACAGGAAACTGCCCTAGGTCAGGTATGCTAGTGAACACTTTAAATACTAATGCTTAGGAGACAAGAGGGAGATGGATCCCTGTGGTTTAGAGTCCAGTAGTAGGCATACATAGGGAGTTCTATGCCAGTCAGGACCTATATAGTAAGACCCTATCACCCTCTAAAGATAAATAAAAGAAAGGAAGAAAAACTGCCCCACCCTGTCTCTGCACTGGAGAAGGGCCCTTAGGCTGCAAAGTCAGGCAACATCAGCATTTACGCCCTCGAAGTTGGTGGCATCACACAGGCTAAAACAGACAGTGCCACCCAAGATCACAGGACACTCGGAAGGAGAAGGTCTCTCAGGAAGGTAGCTGTTGTTCATCCATAAGGAGATGCCCCTGACCAAGCCAAGTATCCGACAGGGAAGAGCACTGTGTATTCCCCGAAGACAGCGTGATGTGCACAGAAAAGAGCCCATTCCGGAAAAACCAGACGCCACAGGGGGATATCACACACGCAGACTGTCACACACGTGGACCGCCACACACATGGGTCACACTTACACACTCGGTGTGCACCGGATGGACAGCGAACAGCAGTGCCGCCAGCAGGGACGCTCTGGGGGCCAGGTGTACCCTCCGGCCTTTACTGGTGAAATGCAGGCCACCGAACAGCACCGAGAAGACGTCCAGCATGAGGACGGAGACGCCGCCGTGCAGGAGGATGTTGACCACATGGAACCCCACGGGGTGGAAGCCTCCTGACAGGTAGTAGTTGATCCTGCAACGAAACGGTGGGTGTTCACAGTGGATGCACAAAGCACTCACGGAGGGGCAGCAGCCGCTGAAAGACCTCGGCGCGCCTCCATCATGGAAACAGCACCCAAGGTGATAGGTAACGCCAGCCCAGCTAAGAAGCCCGAAGAAACCGTGAGTGCGATTAGCCATAGAGGACACTGGGAGAAATGGCCAGAAAATACAGGGACAAGAAAGGCAAAAGGGAAGCTAGACCCTTTTATTTATTTATTTATTTATTTATTTATTTATTTATTTATTTATTTTTAAGCCCCCCCCAAGGGATTATTTTCCAAGGATAAGATAAACCACAAATCCCTTGAGGCTGCCCCCCACAGGGGGCCTAGATTTAAACTAGCCCACACAACCTACACATCTGTACAAAAAAGGTGTTTCAACAATATGTATCCGTGGCCACCTTCTGCAGGGTACCTTCCTACTGTTAGTGTGAGGCTTTCATTTGACTGGTGGTTCTGGTCATTTTTAATTATTTCTCTGCAAGATCTGTATGCAAGAATTTAAGTGTATCCCAGAAAACAGTTAGTATAAGAACTGTCACATGATTAGTAACCTGTGGCGATATCTTTCTTGTACAAATAAAGTCAGTCTGGGGCGGGGTCAGAGGATGGAGCTTGCCACCAGTTAACCATAGAGGTCTGGAGGTCTGGGCAGACACAGGAAGTGATGTAGCTGGGCAGAAACAGGCTATAAGCAGGGAGAAACAGGAACTCGCTCTCATCTGCTGAGATGCTAAGGAGGTAAGGTGTGCTGTGGCTTGCTCCTTCTCTCTGATCTCTCAGCATTTCCCTCTATAACTGACTAGGGCTTTTTATTATACAAACCAATTAAGAACTCCTTTTACAGTAACCCTGGTTAATGGGGACCAGAAGTCATCTCTAACCTTCGACTTGGCGGTGGTAAAATAATTCAGAGCTTAATTCTGTCATGGAAAACAAGAACCCCACAATTTTACTGGGTGCCTGTGTTGCCTAGATAGGTATCATATTGGTCCCCTGCTTTGCTAACCAAACAGAAAAGGGTGGGTTCCCTGAGAACCAATGAAACACTGAGCATCACCCTTGTACAGTCATAACTCTCTGCATAACTCCAGCTCTAGTTTGTGCGGGCTTAGTTTGTGAGATTCTCTCAGGCACAGCCTCTCAGCCTCCCCGGGGGGCACACTTCCTAAGACCTGAAATAAGCAAACATCTTAGGTAGGACTTCACCTACCTAAGAACTAATGGCTGGATCCTCCTACATACGATGTCACCTGGAAACCTCAAATGATGCCTCTACTCCCACTGTTACACCTTACCTGAAGGTCAGGACAGTAAGTGGCCGGTAGGACTTGTGGCTGGTATTGCTGCTCAGTCTACTGCCCCAGAAGTCATGGTGCCACAGGTCCCCCAGGGGTGTGTCTGACTGGAGGTCCTGCGGGAACACAATGGGACATTCCGGGCAAGGAGTTATGATCCGCCGCTAATCTTGTACCAAAGCCTTGAAAGCTTCCCCCAATAACTGCACACTTCATCCTTCCTACAAGCCCGAGGCCCAGCCCGCCATCATGTCTTCTCCAAGGACATGGGGCAGAATTCTTAAAAGGGTCACACGTTTTTCTACACAAAGAACATTAACTATCCAGCTAGTTACAAGCCTTTCAATATCTTCTCACCTTCCTGGGTTAAAGCTGGTGTTCTCTGAAGGCCATAGACTCTGCGCCCATCTGTCTAACTCCAAGTTCCTGCCTATCTCTCGTGAGTTCCTTTCCCAGAGGCTTTACATAGGCCAAGTCTGCCCTAGATGGTCACCTTTACCCTTCTGGCACCCCAAGTGGATCTCAATCCTTTTCCAGGGCATCTTATATCTGTCCCCATAACAGCTGACACACTGGTCACTCACAGCCATGGCTTAATTATCTGTCACTAGACTGACGCTCCGCAAGGCCTAGGCCACATGAGCTGAAGTACAGAGAAAGTGCTTAAACATGCCAAGAGAACAGACCACTCTGCCACACAAGGTCACTACTATTCTTTCGCAGTCAATCAATAAGGTAGAGTATTAGAAAAATATCCAGTGTAAACAAGTTGGGCAAATATAATTCTTAAAATTTCCATTTTTGGTCACGAGTTGAGCAGATTGTGAAACTGGGGGGTTAATCCCCCATACAATTTTACAATATACAATTACTAAATATTAAACAAAACTCATCTATCTGCTAAGTTAATCTTGTATTATACCAACCATGACTAAACGCATTTTCCCTTACACTTAAAATATGAAACTAAATGCTATAAAAATTAAATGAGAGGGCTAGAGAGACGGCTGAACAGAACCCTGAGTTTAGTTCTCAGCACCCATGTTGAGTGGCTCATGACTCCTTCTAGATCTTTGGTGGGGGATGTCCTTCTGTATATATGTTTCTCTTACTGGTTGATGAATAAAACACTGATAGGCCAATAGAGGAAGGAAGCTAGGTGGGCTATGAGTCGAGGGGAATGTTGGGGAGAGAGACAGAGAGGCACCACCAAGGGGACCTCATGTAGAGACTGGGAAGACAGGACGCGCCAGGCGTACTCTGGTAAGATGAGGCCATGTAGAAATACATAGATTAGTAGTTATGGGTTAATGATTGAGAGAGAGCTAGCCAGTCAGAAGCCCTAGCCATCGGCCAACAGTTTACAAATCCATATATGTCTCTGTGTGCTTATCTGGGGCAAATCAGCTATGGGACCAGGTTGGAAAGAAATTCCAGCTACAGCTCTTGCTATACATATCGTCAAAAGACTGTGCCTTAAACTCCAGCAGCTGTGTGTGTGTATCTAACAGGAGAAACTGCACATTACCAGCTTTCTGAGGCTCAAACTCAGAAGAAGTGGCTTAGAACACATACTGCTCTCCCAGAGGACCTGAGATTGCTTCTCAGCATCCAGCTTGGACTCACAACCACCTGCAACTCCAGTTTCAGGGGATTTAATGGCTGCTTCTGCCACCTCAGGCACCTGTATACATGTGGCAGGAGTATAAGCGTGCACGCGCGCACACACACACATACACACACTTTAAAAAGATTTTTCCCAAACAGAAGAGGTGGTTAAATGACAGATGGCCACAAAGAATAAATATCCTCATTGCAATATGGACTCCGGCACTTGATACTGAATGAAGCGCCTGCCGACTCGAAGGGAAAAACCTCAGGAGGGGGAACAGATGCAAAGTCGATCACTCGATTCTCACTGTGCCTTCCGCTTCTACCAGCTTCTGCGGCCTTAAAAAATTTAGATCACGCATCCAACGAGCCAGTTGGATGTTTTGCAAGGACTGCAGGACCCATCTGCCTACTCTGCGACAAAAGTGGGAGCCCAAGTCTTTGTGTTGCGCCACAGAAGCGCTTGTTCGGTTGTGAGGTGGTTGGGAGTAGCAACTCATCCTCACTCTGAACAGAAATGCACACCAAAGAAGCTCTAAATATTTAATTGGGCACAGCCTACACAGAGCAAAGTGTGAGAGAGAAAGGCCAATTTCCTTTTCTAATGATTTATGGGAACACTAGACTGCGTCTGAAATTCCTCCTAACGGTATCGTCTCGGAGATCATCTTGTGGAAAAACAAAAAAAAGGCAACTCAGCACAAGGAAGCATCTAGCAAACAGAGCCCGCCCCCCCACCCCCACCCCACCCCAGCAACCGCCTGCTTGCGGCATGAAGACACAGCTACAGGAATGGAGGTGTGCATTCCATTCAACAAGGAAGGAGAATGGGGGGGAGCTGACGAGTTAATGCCAAGGGGCAAGAGGTGACATTACAGAAAATATTGCTCAAACCACACTGGGCAAGGGGCACAAGATGCCCGTCCACTTTCCTCCACTGGGAAGCAAGACTGCAGTGATCATCAGAATGCATGCGTCACGCACCAGAGTCCATGCTTCCATCGTCCCAGCTCAATGGAATTTTCTAGCACAGGTCCTGAATCAACCCCATTACATACCCGACCAGAGGTATGAAGAAAGTCACCACAATATACACAGCAGAACTTTTACTAAGTGAATCCTTGTTGGAAACGCTATCCTGTGGCCAGCAGGCCATCGATGTGGCAGAGTTGTTCAGAGTTACTGGCTTCTTTTAAGGAGTCGCCTATCATAGGGGTGGCAGGTGAATGCAAGGGAGGGGAGTTACAAGCAGAAAACGTGAGTTAAAAGTGAGCATCAACAGATCCAGGTATGGTGGCGCACACCTCTAACCCCAGCACTCAGGGTGCAGAGACAGGTGGATCTCTGTGAGTTTGTAGCCAGTCTGGCCTACATAGCAAGTTCCAGGCCAGCCAGAGCAATATAATGAGACTCTGACTAAAAAAAACAAAAAAAACAAAAAACTAATAATATGATGTTACAAGTAAAACACCTGCAAGACAAGCATATCTTTCTACAACTTCTTAACATATGGTCTCGCCATGTGGAGTTTTCTTTGACATTTTTCTATGTGAAAAGGACTTTTCTTCATTTGGTGATATCCATGATTTTAAACATATACACCATTTATAAAAAATACATATGTTTTATGTATTTATGCAAAAATACATTTTATAGCCTTGTGTTTGTACACATACACAGAGAGACACACAGACACAAAGACACAGACTATGGTGTGTGGGTGTACAGGATAGAGGACAAATTGCAGGACACTGTTCTCTCCTTCCACAATGTGGGTCCTGTGGATCGAACTCAAGTCATTACCCCGCTGAGTTATCTCAATGGCCTTCATCTCTTAGGAGCACACAACACTGGTGCTGCAACAGCTCCTGTAGAGACGACGTGGCCCAGAGAGACAGGCAGGTGCATTCCTTCAAGTTCCAGCCAAGGGCAAGCAACACAACCGTGTGCTGACAGCACAGACTATCGCAGAGGCTCTACCCCACACCACTCCCGAGCACCGGTTCTTCCTCCAAGTTTCTTATTCTCATTGTCTTTCGATCCATTTCAATCTTTTCCTTCCCATTTTATAATGAAAAAGATGACTGACTTCCTAGCCTTATGGGGCTGCAACTGGTGAGCAAGATGGACTAGGATTCTGCAAGGTCAGCCAACCTGAGTCCACAAACATGGAGCAAGTGGGGGGACGGACGGACACTGTACCCCTCCCTCAGCAGCACACCTCCCTCACACGGCAAGGCGCACAGTCAGCTGCTGCCTGCTGCCGATCACACGCCTCTCAATAGGTGACTGGATCCACCTGTCACTACAACAGATGGATGAGTCTCTTTCTTTCCTCTGGTGGTTCTGGGGAGTTTCATAGAACCCCAGAGTACCCAATCGGCAACACCCCTGGTCTTGTAATCTTAGCAGAATGGCTAAGACACGTGTGTGGGTGGGGGTCTCCTGAGCACAGACAGGTTCTGTAGACCTTAAGGCAATAAATGTAGGAGCTAATACATAAAATGGAAGGGGGAAATCTATAGCTTAACTGAGACCCACACCAAGAGCCAACCCAAGTTTAACAGAGAACTAACACCAACTTGGATGGTTACTGAGACATAAGCAAACTGGCATGTTGTAAGTTTCCTAGAGGATTAAGACACAAACCTTGTTGTTAATAATAGCTTCAGAGTCATCAAAGACAAAATCTCCATCATAGCTCCTGGCAAAACACAGGAGGGAAGCAAATCCTACTACTAACTTAGCCCAGAAAGGGGACAGGACAGAAGACGGGATGATTTGGTCCAAGTCGGCGTCCAGCTCGGCCATCTTGAAAACCGCCAGCTACCAGCCTCCTGCTCCAGCATTATGCTCCGAAATCTGCAAGGGAAGTAACGTCATGTTAAGCACACTTCTGCAGGGGGCATCTTTACCTTAAGCAAGGGCTACGTCAGCAGGTACGCTGTGATACTATAGGATGCAATCGTTAAGACATGTCAAGCCATGGCTTCCAAACTTCAGGGGACAGAAAAGTGACCTGGGACTCAAGGATTTCCCAACCCTACCATGACCTATGAAATCTGAAGCCCTGGGGTTTCTGATGTCTCCTTTCAGAAATTCTGACTTCAGAGATTCCTGTTTTTACTAGCCCCACAAAGCATACATCTCAGAGACAGCTTACAAGGCTTTTTTAAAAGAGTAACAATCAACTTCATCAATCCAGAAAAATCAGTAACCATTCATTGTTGGCACACTGTGGGGTGGGAAGGGGTTGTTAGAGTACACCTACGAAACATGACTGTGATCCTGACTCTAACGGACCTCATCGTCTGTGTGCAGAACTCAAGGACATGTGCCGGTTAGCTGAAAATCTTAGAGAGGGGACTCATGAGGTGAGAGCACATGACAATGATTGAACTGGGGTTTACATAGAGACAGAATAACTGACTTCTTTGGAAGGTCCCCAAAAGAACTAAGCTGTCCCAGTTCTGCACAAAGATCTGACTGACTGACTGACACTACTGGGGAAGAGCTAATTTAGGAATACATTCTCCATTTGGAGTTTTCAAATGGACAGAGTGGTTTTGCCACAGCCTTGCCCATTTATTAGCTGTGTGGACTCGGATGAGTCTCTATGTAAAACGGAAGACCCTTTTAGCTGCGAGAGTTAGTGAAACTACGTCCTCACTATTAAGCAGAAATGGGACTGCCTACTTTAGAGTTGTCACTGTATTTTTTGGGGGGGTGGGGGTGGAGCAGGTGTTATTTGGCTTACAGTCCCACCAGTAAAGGAAGGAACTCAAAGCAGGAACCTAACTGTAGAGGTCATAAGGGAATATGGCTTACTGGCTAGCTCAGTCTGCTTTCTTATTCAGATCAGGATCATCCGTCCAGGGGTAGTAGCACTGCCCAGCAGACCTCCAACATCAATCATTAATCAAGAAAATGCCCCCACAAACCTGCTTTCAGTGGGTTTTAATGGATATTTGGAGAAAGCCACCACTGGCTTTTTGGTGTAAAAGTTGTGGTCCTCCCTTCTAAGAGAACAGCCTCTCCATTCTGCTTTCAAGTCGATGAAAGAAAAAATTCCAGCCCCCCCTGGGCTGGGAATGCAGCTGGGGTGTATCTGGTTCCAGATCTCCAAGTAAATACCCAGACCAACAAGAAGTCAGCCAAATAGGAATCTAGGGCCACAGACATATTTCTTTGTTTTAAAGTCTTCTTTCTGAATATGGTAGAGGCAGACTGACTGATGGACAGACAGCAGTGCTCACCTCCCAACGGTGGCACTGATCCTTCCCAGAGGCAGAGCCCATTTACAATCCAGACACAAAAGCCTGCAACCCTTTCTCTGTCCCCTGAACACCACTGCCTGATGTAAGGCTTGCTCTTAGCAAGTCCTGGGGGAACAGTTCACCTAATTCCTGCGGCTTTCTTTTCTTTCCACGAAAAAGGTAAGCCACTGTTTAAATCCTAATTGCAGTCAGGTCACCATCAGTGCCCTTGATTGCTGTTTTACATTCCAGCTAAAGAAATTACTCCCGAGACTTCAAAATTAAAACAGGACCAAGTGCTTAGCAAGAAACTACGGCTTTAAAAATGGAAGGAATAAATGTGCTCCTCGACTAAACAAATGGTTTATGCCCATTTTAAAGGTATAACAGACTACATGGAAGCCATAACAACTGGTCATACAACTGGTTCTGATGCTCTTGGGTTGAGCCTCCAACACCTGAATACGAAACCACAGGTCGTTAAGAAGTTCACATGGCCTTATGATGATTACTGATTGATGAAATCATCTGTTCCCAAATTAGCTGCTACGCCTTTCCGGGCTATTCAGACCCGTAGTGCAAGCCAACCATCATTCAAGCAACAGTGCACATATATGTAGGGTGGATTATGGACCCCAACATTTGGGGTGCCCTGGTGGGCCACGCCCCCACTTTTGAGAAGCCAAGTGAATGGATGATGGCAAATACTCTTCCCCGATGGGGGTCAAACCGTGCAGGCACTGTGTCCTCTACCCTAATTCTCAGTCCTCACTGCCATTTCATGGAAGCATCTCTACTCTGCTCTTGGGGGACTCCACCTCAGTCCAACGCCTCGGCTGCTTTCTGCAGCGAAAATATTCAAACGCTCCCATTTGTCGAGAGGACTCGTGTCACACACACAGCCATGCAATCCAGAATACGCCCTTCTATCAGCAAATGCCAAAACATGTTACAGTGCGTTGGAAACCCACGTGACATTCTCAGAATCCACTACGGCAGCCCCCAGCAAAAGTTTCTGGAGCTACATTTCCCTGAGCTGCATTGCTTTCCTAAAAATCAGTTTCCTCATCAGTAGAAGGTACCACGGTGTTCTCTACGCTGTGGTAGGGACTGAGTTAGGTAGCATAATCAGTTAGTCTCCCTTTCCATAGTGTTTCGATCAGTTCCTAGTCCCTGATCCCATCTTAATGCTTATGGTGCCATCTTAGTGACCATCAGAACCCATCAGGCGTACCCTAAAAAGGGGAACCCTTTTTTTTTTTCGTGGGCAGATCTACAGCCCACAGCTTCCCCGTTGAGGCATCTTTGTGTCCTATACAAACTCTACACCACACAATGACCCTGACACCAACGCTCCACCCTCCATCAGTAAATGACCCCTGCTTTACAATAAGGCTTGGTGTGAGGGTAAATGAAGCCATGCCCATGTGAGGAGGCAGATAAGGGGACCTTTCTATCTACGTCACAACATAGGAAAGGACTTTCCGGCTTTGACTAAGCAACATGTCTTACTGATCTTCTTTCTCCAGGTATCACCCTGCCTGGGAGCCCTGGAGACTAAGCCACAGCTTGGATAGTTGGTAGCTTACTGTATGGAGGGGCCAAAACAAGATAGATGCTCACTGTGGTTCCAGTTTCAGCAGTGACCCATCTGCACAGAACCTACTGTGAGTAGTCTGAAAAGACACAGTCACACTACCCGAGCTGGGTGTACTGGTGGCTGGCCATTGAGCTCCTGTCTCAATTGGCTCCCTAAGATCGGTTCAACGAGGAACAAACCAGTAGTCTGTATCCCCAACTCTCAAACTCCTAATAAGCCTTGATTTTCAGGGTGCTAAAACAAATCCCTCTGTCAGTCAAAAGGTCAAAGAGGCCTCAATCAGTGTCTCCCCAAAGCCTAAACTGCACTGAACTGGGAACCGTGAGCCCCTAATAACGTTGGACACTTCAATGAAGCAGTGACACCCAACCTAGATGAGCCAGTCACCCTGGAAAACAGCGATCACCTAACAGAAGAATTTGCCACAGGCACAGAGAGGCAGGCACTTGTCCTCTACATGAAGGGCAATGCATCCAGGGCCAGCTGTCCTCCAAGACGGAGCACAACCTTGCCTCTGGAAATCAAATTAAACCATGTGATGGTTTCTGAACCAGTATTCTGGCACAATGCAGGGTGAGCTAACACCTAAGAGTGCCCAAGGCAAGGAGCCAGTCACTGAGTCAAAGGCAGGGTAGGAGGCATCCTGTTGTGACCCACCTTCTTAATTCAAGAATGCTCAAGGGGCTGCCCGTAGGAGGTTTCACACTCAGAACTCCTGCCTCAGAAAGTTTCCACTTTGCTAGCTTGTAGCCATTTTCCCACCTTGGTGGGGCCAGCTGGCCTCACGTAGCCCCAACTCAACCTGAGGTGCATTGCTTATTGAGGGGTGCAGGTACAGGGATTTCGTCAAACCCTAATGTAATCGTTTCTCAAGGAATTCTCACCATCCATCTGTTCCCCGGGAGAGAGCAAAGTGTGGATGACTCAGTGGCTAGATCTTTCCTCTAACTCCTCCTTTCTTTTGTGTGTAGTTAAAAGAAAAGAAAACACAAACAGCCCCACAGCCACAACATCAACAGCCCAGACTCCCCGTGGAGTTTGCCAGAGGTGAGGAGGTAGCTGCTCCACCTGCTCCGGTTTCCCCAACTCCTGGCAGCTCGGTGGCTCCAGGCTCCCAGGCCAGTGGTACCGGTTTTGCTCCACAGCGCGAGAGCGGAGTAGCTGGCACTCCAGGAGCTGCAGGGTAGCTCTCCGTGTAACCCTGGGCAAGCGGCCAAGCTACCCGGCTGTCTCCAGCCGTCGCCTGTGCCTTGGCCAGCTGGCGACCAGGCACGGGGACCCCGTGGCCGGGTGGCCGCTGCACCCGGTGCACTCCCGGGTCACAAAGCTGTTGCGCGGCTGGGTCAGACAGTGTGGCTGGCGCGGCGACCTCGGCCGTGGCGGGGCAGCGCGGAAGGCTGAACCCGGGGCGCGCACCCCTTAACCGCGCGCTCTTTGTCCGGGGTGCGGCTTCTACCAGGGCGCACACTGCCCGGGACCCGCCTCCGCCGGTGGGCAGCTCGGGTCCCGTAGCTAACTCCTCCAGTAGAGGTGCAGGGCTCGGGCGCCGCCCCCGGGCCCCGGGGCCGGGCTGGTGGCTCTATTGCGAGCCCAGGAGCCGGCGCCCGCTCCGCACCCAACTGCGCTCGCCCCGCAGCTGAGCTCAACCCTCAACGGGTCACCGGCGCGTTACCTGCAAGGAGCCCAAGCGGCGGTCGCATCTCCCTCCCGCGTGCTTAAACTCCAGCGGCTCCCCAAGCCCGCCGCCGCCAGGGGAGGGGCCTCCCGCGCCCCTCCCGTCCCCCCCGTCCCACCCCGCCGCGTCCCGGCCCCCGCCGCGCCGCTCCCCACTCGCGACCGCCCGCGAATGCCTAGTCCCGCCCCCCCGCCGCGCGCCCATCGGTTGTCTTTCCCGTCACTCACACGCTCCTCTTCCGCTCATTGGTACATGTGGGGGTGACGTCGGGACTGGGCGCTCTCGGCGAAGGAGGCGCAGGGGCGGACGGGCTTCGCTGGGGAGGAGAAAGCGCAGCCGGGATGCGAAGGGGCCGAGGCCTGGCTTCTGCACCCCGGGGATTCCGCGCGCTCTGAACCGCGTACCTGGTTGGTTGGTCCCGCGCGCTCCGCCGAGGGCGTGTAGAATCCATGCACAACCTCCCCCCACCCCTTGCGCAACTCCACGCTCCTTCCTGTCTGGGAGGAGTTGCTGAAGACGTGTGTCTACTTTCTCGCTCTCGAACCGGGAAGTGAGTTCCTCCTCCCTGGGCCCTGCAGTCTCAGGATTGCACCAGCTCTTCGGAGGAGCAGGGCTGTGTGCTGTGCGGCGTGCCTCCATACTCCAGTCACGACCCCGAGATGCTGCGCCTTCCTTCCCGCTTACTTCCCATTCTCAGTTCTTACCTTTGCAGCCACCTCCAAGGAAGTGAAAACCTTTGTTGCTTTCCCCCTGCCAAACCACAGACCTCAAACCCCCAATGGCCACCGACGCCCTCCTTCCGAGTAGTCTCTGATCTGTTTCCCTCTTTGGAGTGGAGTCCTCATCCTAGGCACCAAGTCCCTTCCAAGCTTTCCTCTGCTCTATGCCATGCTGCCTCCCTTGCCCTCCATCACTGATGGAGACTGCTGTCCCCCCCGACCCCCAGCCCTAGCTGTCTCCAACTCCATTCTCTTGGCTCCCATTCAGTGAAACTGCATTTGCGAGTCACTCCTACCGTCTGCCCTTACCAAGGCCGAGCTCATCCCAAGATTTCTTCTTCCTCCTTAAAAGGCCCTCTTCCCTCGGACTACTGCTTTCCACTGTCCGGCTTTTACCTAGGCTGCTTGGCAGGTTTGCCTGCCCGGAATGATCTCTTAAGAGTTTTAAAGATCTCCTCCTTTTACCTTACTCCACAAATTTCCCTGTTATGATTTAATCTGCCGCCAACGCTCCAATCAATACATTTCAGATTTACGCTTCTGCTCCTTGCTGTCTCCTGAGTTCAGATTTATCTAGCTCCCTATTTAGCTTCTCCCCTTGTATATGTCGCCACATCTCAAATGGTGAAAGCATCCAACACACACTCACTCTGCTATCTCTTCTACTGGTCTATGATGCCCAGGGTACGGCCATCTTGTTAGTACTTCACGAAGTCTGGTCTCAGTCCTGGCATCTACCAAAATCTTCGACTGGCTGGTATTAGGAATGTAAGGGGTTTTGTTGTTGTTGTTGTTGTTGTTGTGTTTTTTTCCTTTTTTAAACTTCTTGTGTGCGTTAGTAAGCATTTTGTGACTTGGAATAACGTGATGCGTGTACCGTAGAAATTAGCTGCCCGGCAACTCTGATAGGAGCTAGGCTACAGAAACAAACTCCAGGCCGGCCACCCAACAGCTCAATCACAAGCCGATCCCGGCACAGGCGTTAATGTACTAATGATTAACCCCAAGATGGTGAGTTAGTATTCTGGTGAACTAGCCCCACGTCGTGAATCCCGACAGATAACACAAGACTGCCACCCAATGAAATAGCAACTTGGAAGGCTGCAAATGGTCTCTAGCATCACGAGCTCCGCGGCTTCTGCAGCCGCTGTGCAAACACACCCATCAGCAAGAAGACTTGAGACTGTCTGGCCCTGGTCTCAGTGACCTTTGACCTACACAAGGCTACCCTCTCAAGCACCTCGGTTAGCACCATCCACCTAGCCTGCTGCAGCTGAAGGACTTCGTGGCAGAGGAGAGCCAAGCCTGCAAGCTTCCAAAATAATAAAAACAAAACAAAACAAATCCTCGCTGGAGAAGATTCCACACTACTGTGTATACAAGTCCAGCAAACCATTATATTTGAAAATAATAGAATTTAAAATACTCCAAAACTTCATAAGTCATCCATTTTAGGTTTCAGAACATTTCTGGACTGAAACTGATTTGGTTACAGTTTGGGGAGTGGTTATAATGGAAATATTTACATTCGGAGGTCCGTTTCCGTTAGTGTGACTGGTTGGTTTAAAGCCAGGCGGGGCTGACTCTTGATGAGATCTCAACCCAAAAGACAAGATGAGGGACTCAGATCTCCTGCAAAAAACAAACAAACAAACAAACAAACAAAACCCAGAAAACTTAATTTGTGTGTGTGTGTGTCGTTTCTCTTCTTTAATTAAAAAAAGGAACGTTTTTTAAAAGTTACTTTTTCATTTTACATACCAACCCCAGTTCCCCCTCCCTCCTCTTCTCTCACCCTCTCCTCCCCTCCCCACCACCATGCACTCCTCAGAGGGGGTAAGGTCTTCCTTGGGGAGTCAACAAAGTCTGCAATACCAAGTTGAGGCAGGACCAAGCCCCTCCCCGCTGTATCAAGGCTGAGCAAGGTATCCCACCACAGGGAGTGGGCTCCAAAAACCCAGCCCATTCACCCAGGATAGGTCCTGGTCCACTTCCAGGGGGCCCCCAACATGATCAAGTCGCACAACTGCCACCCACATTCAGAGGATCTAGTTCGGCTCATGCAGGTTCCCCAGCCGTCAGTCCATAATCTGTGAGCTCCCACAGCTGTCCCTGTGGTCTTCCCATCATGCTCTTGACCCCCCTTGTTCGTACGACCCCTGCTCCCTCTCTTCAACTGAACTCCAGGAGCTCAGCCCAGTGCTTGGCTGTGGATCACTGCATCTGCTTGGGGGGGGGGGTTATTTCCGTGTGTAGGGTGCAGGTGCCCACAGAGTCCAGAAGAGGGCGTTGAATCCTCTGGATCTGGGATTTCAGGCATTTGTGATGTGGTGCCGGGAACTCAGTCCGCATCCTTTGCCAAAGCAATACTGGCTCTCAACCTCCGAGACACCCCTGCAGCCTCTCGGGGCTCCTTTGCGCCTCTCAGCCTGGCTCACTAGGTAATAGCTACATTTAGAGTGTACAGTGGGTAGCAGTGCTCACCCTCGAAGTCCACCTCGCAAAGAATAAAGTACAGCAAGAAACTTCTTCCACACCTGGTCTCAAAAATTTACAATCCCCAAAAGGAAGCAAAACAATTAAATGGAAAGTGCCACAAACAATGCGAGGCAAGAAGGTTCTTTTTTTTCCTCTTCTTTTCTTTTTAATTTAGAAACAATCATTTTACATATCAACCCCCTTCCCTCTCCCTCCCACCCTCCCATGTCCCCTGCTACTCCCCCCCAACTCACGCCCACCCACTCCCCAAGAGCAGTGAGGCCTTCCATGGGGGATCAGCAAAGTCTGTCACAGGCCCTCCCCCAAGTATCTGGGGTGAAATAGTATCACTCCATAGGGAGTGGGCTCCCAAAGTCCATTTGTGCACTCGGGATAAATACTGGTTCCACTGTTAGAGGACCCATAGACGAGGCAAGGAAGTTGTAACAGGGGAAAATGCTGAAAGATCAGAGAGCAAGCCACAGCCATACCTTCCCTCCCTAGCTTTCCATCGGAAGAGGGAGTGAGCGCAGGTCTCCTCCCCCAGCCTTGTCAGTTCCTCTCTCTCTGCCCAGCCGAAGCACTTCCTGTCTGTCTCTACAGACCTCCAGACCTCTATGGTTAACCAGTGGCAAGCTCCGCCCTCTGATCTCCAGGCAAGCTTTGCTTGTTAGAGTAGAACACAAGACTTCACTACGGAAGTTCGGATGGCAGAGGGATAATTCCCTACACGTGTTTGTAAGATGGAGCAGTCTCAGAAGTGCTTGCTGCAACGTGGGAGAAGGTTGAATGCTGGTGTGAGCAGTGCTCCTGGAGACTTAGCCCGATAAAGCTTTCCCCTTTCTCTGATGCCATAGATGTGGAGTCTGCTCCACAGAGCCATTCATGGACTCAGGCTCTTCTACCCACGATGGGGCTTCGGTCTTTGCCTTCAATTACTGGCTTTCTAGTTCCTTCATGCTATCCAGGAAGACGGAAGCGATGCGCAGTCTCATTCCACCAGAGAAAAACAGCCGTGCTGCAACTGCGCAGGGGGTTGCAGGTTACTCCCGTGACCAGGGGCAAATGGTTTCAGAGCCACATGATCCAGCTGGAGAGACCCGTAGGGTAGGGACAACACTGAAGCCAGAAAACCGGCTCGCGCCTTTGGAAAGCTCTGGTCATGTTTGCAGAAAGTGGGGCCTCTTAGACACATGTGGAAAATGAGCCAGAAAAAGGCCACCGGCATCTGAGATGTTATAAGGGATTAGGGCTTTATAGGCACTAGATGGTACCCGAAGTTTTCCACGGGGAATGAGTTGATCAAGTCATAACTAGAACATCTACGGAGCAAGATGAGATAAGGCCAAGACTATGATTTTGTTTTTTCCTAAATGAGCAAATTATTTTGCTGGAGAAGAAAACAAAGCAAAACAAACAAACAAATAAAAACAAACAAAAGAGCATTTGTTTAAAAATACTTAGTTCCAGAGACCAGAGAGGTGCCTAAAAGGCAAGAGGCAGTCAGTCTCCTTTTAGCAACACACTCCTAAGAGTGATTAAGCGTCCTGTGAGAATTAGCCCAATGCCTGAGTGAAATTTCACCTCTTGTCTCCCAACACCACTACCACATAGCAATCAAATGCCAAACTGTATCGATGAAACCGCATTAAAACTGCTATACCCCCATTTCCTTCCATTGTATTTTTACTTTTTCTTAAGTAGCTTTACTTCTGTTTAGATAAAGAAACTTAGATTAAGATAAAGGTGACAGGCCAGGCAGTGGTGGCACATGCCTTTAATCCCAGCAGAGGCAGGCAGATCTCTTGTGAGTTCGAGACCAGCCTGGTCTACAAGAGCTAGTTCCAGGACAGCCTCCAGAGCTGTCTTGACCAACACCCCCCCCAAAAGAAAAAGATA